AGGAAAAGAGTTTCAAAGTCCCCTTTTTGTCGGTGTTACAGCAGCACAGCTCCACAGCATCCCCTGCCAGCCGGGTAAGGCACGGCTGCTGGGACTGTACCATGAGTAGTGTAAATCTTGTTCTTTAGGATCTAAAGAGGGCACTCGTGTGCTGTGAGAGTAGAGATTTGTTCCTGTCAGCGATTACATACTGTTTATACAAACCACTGTGAACTTTTTTTTACGTTAAATTTTGTTTTAAAGGGATTGCTTTTCTTTTACTGTCTTGTCTCTAGTTTTTATTGCTGTTGACATTAGGAATAACCTTCAACCTTGCCAGCATCACTGGTAGGATGTATATTTAATTCAGACACACGGTCCTCTCCTTATACTTCAAATGACAATTAAAGCCATTATTTTAAGTGTTTGTGTCTCTTTCCTGAAGCCAAAGTTTGCTTAGAAACCCGTTTGTACACGACCCCCCTGCCGAGTTGGCCGGGCTTCCCATCCACACCTTCCTCTCGGAGAGAAAAGGAAGTCCTGGCTGGAAATAGCACATAAACACTTGTCCATGCTCAGAGTGAACACATTTGTACAGTTTCCTTGTGTTCCATGGAGCAGATCATAGTGCTGAGACAGCAGTCCCAGGGCAGGGACAGAAATGGCTCTGGGAGTGACAGAAATGGCTCAGGATCTGCTGGAAGGGGTTTGTGCATTTCAGCCTAAAGACTTTGTTCTACAAAGAAACCCAGAAACTCGATAAGCCAACCAGAGGTGTTACTCTTGATCACCAGTTTATATAAATCTCTCACAGAATCTTGTTTTTTAAAAGCTGTTGATCTTTTTTGAACAGATGACAGTGTACAATACCATGTAGTGAAAATCACTTATTAAATGATGAAATTGTTAAATCTTCTCCGTGTTGGTTTATCACAACCCAGGCCCTGCTCTCCAAGGGCCTGACTTAGAGAAATAAATTGTTCTGGAAACCCACAGATTCTCGGTTTGGATTTGTCCGAGCTGCAAGAGGGGGGATTTTAAAAGCAGTGTTGGGTTTAGCTCTGGGTCCCCCCCAGGGGGTGCAGCTCCCCCAGTGACACGTGTTGGTGGCAGCGGTGTCAGAGCTGGTGTTGTCACAGCCCGTGCTCGCGGCACCGCACACGGGCGTGGGAGGCCACGCTGGGCTCGTGCTCATTGTTGTGTGCACTGAGCAGGGCTGGCCTGGAACACAAGTGCTGCTCTGAGAGGAGGGGTAGAGCTGAGGACAAGATCATTTTCCTCTGGTTCATAATTAGAGAACTGAGTTCTTGGTGAAATGGGGAACTTGGGTAAACTTTATCAGTGCTGGTGTGGGCTGGCTGCCACGGGTGGGTTGCTGTTGCTGGGTGAGGTGTGTGCCCAGAACAGCCTGGGTCCCTTGTGGCCCTGTGGAAAATGCTGTGGGATGTTCAGCACTCAGAGGAGGCGGCTTGTTCACAGCACCACAACAGCTGCAGTGCTGCTGCATCCCCTGAGGAACAAGTTTGTCGTGGAATGCCCAGCTCGCCTCCCCCGCTGGCTCTGTCCTGCTGTCCCACCCCGTTCCCCTCCACGTTCGGAGTGAGTGGGACTTTCTTGACACAAATAAGTTTTCTGGCCGGGCCCAGCCAACGATTTTATTTTTTAATGTATTTCTCTGAATCAAAGAGCTGTTTTCCTGCTCTGAAGACCTTTTCCCCTTCCCTCTACAGCTAATTAATCAAAAACCTCTTGCTAACCACGATGAGCTCCTTTTATCACGTGTCACAGATCACCTGTTAAGAGTTTCTCACAGACTTTCACCTTTTAAATCACACTCGTGGTTTCCTTTGGGGCTCTAATTTTTCTCCCTCCTTGTACAATGTCCTGTGGTCTGTTACTGCTGTAGTGAGTTGGGCTGTGCCTGGTCGCCCCTCACTGCCCAGCCCTCCTGCACTGGCTGTGTCACACCTTTGTCCTCCGTGACTTGTTTTCTCTCCTCAAAGGCAGTTTCGGTGACACAGGTGCCAATTCTGGGCTGTGTTCTCTGCCCAGCTGCATTCCCTGGGGGTGGGTCATGCACCTCGAGCTTCCCAGGGTGCAGGTGGAGGTGGATGGGTCCTGTCCCACTGCAGGGCTGGGAAGGGAAGGAGCTGCTGATCCTACTGCAGGTTGTGATCGACAGCTCAGGGGCATGTTTTATGCCCGTTTGTTGGGGTTGGGTTGTTTAATCAGTGGAGGGACAGAAGGAGGAGTAGATGCTGATTCCTGATTTTTTTTCCATAACAATACAGGTAGCTGGAGATTGTGACAAACTCAAGTTCTCCTCAGTCCCTGTCTTGTGCTCTGGAAAGAGTGGTAAGATCTGAGGCACTCCCTTGCTTTGGGTACCACTCAGTGACGTGTTCCTCTAATTTCTTCAAAATAAAGAGTGTCCCCATTGCCATCCAGCTGTGGAAAGGCTGTTTTTCCACACAGGTCACCATTGCCTGTTCCTGGTTTGCTTTGGGATGTGTCAGGGCTGTTGTGGCTTTCAGCTTGGAGTCAAGTCAGGCTGGAGCACTTCAACAACAAAACATCCCTTTTCCTTGCAGTGTTCAGACCTGTTCTGGTCTCCGGGGACACGGGGTGGGGAAGTTGGGCACATGTCCTTCGTAGGGAAGCAGAAGCTGGTGGGGTTTTCTCCTTAAAATCCACAGTCCTTACCCAGAAGGGGATCAGATCTTCCACCATTGGCCGATTGTGTTGGTGTTTATTGGACTCAGCTGAGACCAAAATGCCCAAATTAGCTGGAAAGCCCCAGGACAAACCTCCCTGCTGTGGCTCCAGGGCTGTGCCTTTGCTGTCCCACTCCTCTGCTCAGGTGAGCTCTGTAAGTGGGTGTTTTGGGGGGAGGGTTGAAGGATGGGGCATTTGGAGTTCCAGGAGGGTGTTACCTGTGTTCATTCCCCAGGGAGAAGGATGGGGATGGGCCTGTGCACTCAGGGATGAGGTACTAGAAAATACTTAGGTTCCAGGAAAAGTTTTAGGTGTTCTCTGGGAGGAAACCCTTCCCAAGAAGGGTCTTAGGGCTCTTAAAAGTGCAAAACTGGAGAGATGTTTATTACTTGGAGAAAATCAGAAATATGTATGATTTGTTGTAGCAGAGATGCCTCAGAGTGCTTTTCACACTTGGTGCTTTTCACAGCTGATGGTTTTTTCAGGACATTTCCAAAACAGCTTGTTTTTGGAAGCCAGAGGGGAACCCTAAACATGAAGAGGCCTCTGACCAAACAGGAGCCTATAAATGGAGGCAGATTAAACCAGGCCTGATTCTTGGGTTTTATATTCATATAATTCCTGGACCTTCAGGGACTGATCTGTGTCCCTGCTCAGCAGCTGCGCTCTGAGCTCGGCAGAGACTCAGGATTTAACTTCCCACCGTCCTGGAGCTTTGCTCGCTGTGCCGGGCAGGAAAAAAAAAAAAAGTTTAAAAACAGTGGGAAAAAAAAAGTTTAAACTCCATCCGGCGGCGTCTCCTGTTCCGGCAGCTCCCGAGCGGGGCAAAAAAGAAAAGCTGCGGAAAGGGGAAATGTCGGACGGGACCGCCGGGGATGGATGGGGGGGACCCTAGGGATGGATGAGAGGACCCTGAGGATGGACGGGGGACCCGGGGATGGATGGGGGGACTCGCTGGAGCCCCTCCGGGCGCGGTGGGAGGAGGCGGCGGGGCCGGGCCGGGGCCGCCCCTGTCCGGGGGAGGCGGGGCCGGTTCGCGGAGGCCCCGCGGCGGCGGCGGCTCAGGCACAGCCGGGACGAGCACGCACGGTACCGGGGACCGAGGGGAACGGGGCCGGGGGTAGCGGGGGGCGGCCGGGGCGTCCCTGGGGCTCGGCGCGGTGGGTGCCGGCCGGGGGTGGGGGGTTGCAGCGGGGGCCGCCACGTCCTTCCCCCGGGGTCCCGCCCCGCCCCAGGGCTCCGTCCCGCTCCGCCAGGCTGGGGATGGGGGAGGTCGGGGAGCTCCAGGACGCTCCACCCGCCGCCGCCGGCGGCTCCAGGCCCCGCGGCCGCCCCGCACGGGGCCGGGGGGCGATGCCGGGGCCGGGGGGCGATGCACGGGGCCGCTCCCTGCGGGGCTCCACTCGGTGCCCGGGGACGGAGAACGAAGGTGCTGCCCCTGTGGCGGCACCGAGGGACCATCTCCCGTTCTCACGACAGGTGACGGGGTGGCCGCAGCCCACCCGCCCTCCGGCACCACCGCCGCTGGGAGCGGAGCCCAGCGGGAGCCGAGGGCAGGGCGAGCAGCCCCGGAGCACGGGCTGGGCCGGGGGAGGTTGTGCTGAGCCCCCCAGGAGGCTCCGGGAAAGGACGGGAGCGGGGTGGGGATGGGGGTTGTGCTGGCGGCGGGAGCGCGTCTCGGAGGGTTTGTGGGCCACACAGTCTCGCCGGGCTGCCCAAAGAGGAAGGAGAGCTGGGGGGGCTGCGATGGGAACACGGGAGCCTCTCCTGCAGCCCTTCAGCCCATCTGTGAGACCCCCGGGTCTTGCACTCCCAGCGAACTCGGTGTTTCATCCGTGTGGTTTTCATTGCTGGAGTGTGGCCTTAATGATTAGGAGTTGGGTTTGGTGGTCTTGCCCCTCACAGGGTGTCCACAGGAATGGGCTGAAACTGGGATGCCCAAGGGTGAGGTCGGCTCTGGAGGATGCAGGGAGAGGAGATGGGGAAGTTGGTGTCACCCACCGGCCAGGCTGAAACGTGGGGATCACCTGTTTCATTTACCAGGGGTCCCTGATGTTAAAGAAGGGAAACCATGGCTGTTTTTCCCCTTGGCTTCTGACCAACAGCCTCCATGGATCAGTGTCCAACAGAAACACAAGGGCAGCTGCCTCCACCTGCATCACAAGGTGCCAGCTAAGGGCTGGTGCTTTTTTGCTCCTGTAATCGATGCTTTGGAGAAGTTTGGAAAAAACTCGTGAGGAAGTTCCTCGTTGTGGAGCAGCAGATGGGGCACAAACAGGGCTGGGGAGGGTGGCGGGGGCTCCTCGTGGTGCCGGGGGAGGGGGAGGTGATGCAAAACCTGCGGTCCCAGCGTTTAGCAACTTCCCGTCAGCCGGTCATGGTCCTGTCCCCTCCCTGGGGTGAAACCGGGGAGATTTGGCATCTTTGGTCTGCCCTGAGTGGGGAGGTGACGCTCTGCTCTTGTCCCTCAGTTGGCAGGGTGATGCCAGCTTGACCCAGAGCCATGTCCAGGTACCTGAAGCACTTCACGGTGGTGGGCGATGACCCTGTGCAGTGGAGCAACGACTACCAGAAATGGGAGGAGGAGGAGGACAATGGGGACAAGCAGCAGGACTCGGAGATCAAGGTGGAGCCCACCAGGAGACAGATCTCCTTCCAGGACATGATGAAAAAGCTCTTCAGCTCCCACAGGTTTCAGGTGAGGCAGAACAAGCCCAGGCCAAGGGCGGCTGTGGGATGGAGCTCAGGGCTGAGCTCGTGAGCCCCTGGCTGAGCTGTGCTGTGGGAGCTGAGCTGAGCTGCTCCCGTGGGTGCAGGTGTTTCCTGAGCGGGGACAGGCCCCAGTGCCTCCGGGTCGCTGCAGCACTGGCACGTGCTCCCCCTGTCTCGAGCTCCCCACATTAAGGGCTGGGAGGTGGTTGGGTTTATGGGGAGCCAGGTGGTTTCATGGGGGTGGGACTTTGCAGGAATAACCCACCATCCAGGGGGAGTGGGAGCAGTGGAAAGCTCCATGAAACACAACCAGTTGAATCAGGGCTCTGGGTGTTGGGGTGTGTTCAGCTGTAAGGGCCACGATGGCTCCTCTTGTGGTCTGTGCTGGGAGGGGATTCATGTTGGTTCTTCTCCTCTGACAGATCGGGGTTGTCTGGCTGGTGATCCTGGATGCCTTGTTGGTTCTTGGGGAATTGCTCATGGACTTGAAAATCATCCATCCGGACAAATATAACATAACCCCAAAGGTAAAGTGTGGGGAAATGTCACCATGAACAGTGATTTCCCTCCCTTTGGTGGCTCAGAACCTCCCCTGGGTAGGCTGGCTGGGCAAGGCAGGACCTGGAGCTCCAGCCCTGCTGTCCTGATGGTCCCAGCACACAAAGGAGGGGCTCACAGGGGCGTGTGGGGCTGACCTGGCTCAGCTCATGCCAGTCCCTGCAGCAGCTTCAGGTTCCCTTGGGCTGCAGCAGAGCTGGACCACTCCCACCACCCTCTTCCTGCTGCTCTTCACAGCTCCTGGACCAGTTCCCCAGCACCACAGGCTACCACATACTCTGTCCCTTAGAGTAGAAGAAAAGTCCCCAGCCCTTCTCCCTGTAGAGCCCAACCAGATGTGCCCTCAAGCAGTGGAGGTTTTCCATCCTGCCCTGCTCATGTGCACACAGAGGGGTTTCCCGCTTTCTACCTTCAACTTGTGCTGCCTTTTCCCAGGTTTTCCACTACCTCTCCCTGTCCATTTTAACCATCTTCCTGGTCGAGGTGGGGTTCAAGGTGTTCGTGTATCGCCGCGAGTTCTTCCACCACAAGTTTGAGGTGCTGGACGGGGTGGTCGTGGTCGTGTCCTTCGTGCTCGACGTCGTCCTCATCTTCCAGGAGCACGAGTTCGAGGCCGTGGGGCTCCTGATCCTGCTGCGGCTCTGGAGGGTGGCCCGGATCATCAACGGTGGGTGAGGGGGTGTCCTGGGCCAGGGGCTGGATTTGTCACCTCCCCTGAATTACCTGGGCTCGTGTCTTTGTTCTCTCCTCACACCCATCTGTGAGACCCCTGGTCCTGCTCTCCCGGTGAACTTGGAGTTCCACCCCTGTGGTTTTCCTTGCTGGAGTGTGGCCAGAGTCAGGCTGCAATTTCTTTGGAGCAAGGATAGACATGCCCCCTAAAAAACTTCATAATCTATTCCTCTTCACACCTCCTGGACCAGTTTCCCAGAACCACTGCCTGCCACACACTCTGGCTGTCCATCCTGGAGAAGGATGGCTCACATCCTAAGTTTCCACTGTAGGATCCTTCTGGCAATGTTTTAACAGGGGAGCCCCTGTCTTCCTGCATCTGTTCCTACAGCAGAATAGGATTTAATACTCTGCTGCTACTCCTCCATCCCCTCCGGGGATGCTGCAGGAAATGTCCTTGTCTCACCCTGGATCTTTCTTGCTCGAATTCAAAGGTTGTACCATAAAAAGAGAAATAGAAAAGAAAAAAAATAGAAATCAGACTTAAGTGACTTTGCTGTGGAAATTGTAAATTGTTGCAAATAGATGTTAATTCAGAGTATAGCTGGAAACACTTTCTTCCTTCTTGGGGAAGGAATTTTGGGAGTCCAAAAAATGTAGCAATGAGATTATCTCTAATTCCTGCGTGAAACCTCAGCCCAACTGCTGTCCTGTGCCTCCAGCTCAGGTTTGGTGAGTGCTCTGTATTTGGCACAGAGGGATCAGAGGAGGGGATGGCTGGGGCTGTGTCTGTTTTCAGTCCTCACTGCCCTTTGGATGGGGAGAACGTGCCTGGTCGGCAGCAGCCGGAGGAAGGGAGGATGTGAGAGCAGCTTGTGGCTTCTCTCAGTTCAGAGTGAAAGTCAGAGAGAAACTGGATTTGCCTGCAGCCCTGGGAGCCATGGGCTCTTACAGCAGAAAACAGGGTTGCTGTTACAAGAAAATCCCCTTATCCTTGGTTGTTCCTGGTTTCCTCACCAGCTTTTTGCACTTGCTGGAGGAACAGAGGGAACAAAGGGAACGTGCCCCACACTCGGGCGCCGTGTCTGTGCCTGGCACGGTTCAGTGCCCCTGGCAGGGACTGGGTTACACCAGCTGGGGACTGGTCGATGTTACCAATGCAAATAATGCTTTGTCCCCTGAGCAATGAACCCCAAAACCCCAAACCTGCTGCCTGGAGCACGAGAACCAGACACCCCCCGGTGCCTCCTGTGCGTTGTTCCGGAGGAGCCGTGTTGGGGAGGAGGAACAGGATGTTCTTCGTGCTCCCACCAGGCTGATTTATTTTTTCCCCCCCTCAGAAAAGGATGGCAAGAAAAAGCCTTTAGTGTGGGGGCTGAGTTCACATGTCATCACCTAAAGGTGCTTGTAGAGAAGTGACACCTCTGCCGTGGTGAGACATGGTGTGTTCTTAGTGCAGCTGGGCACGGTGAAGCCAAAACCTGGTGGATCTGAGGATGTGCCATGTCCTGTTCCACTGGGTTAAGCCATGTCCTGATCCATTGGGATGTTCCATGTCCTGTTCCCCCAGGCCACAGCAATCAGCTCCAGGGCACGAGCCCCAGGCTGTGCCCTGCTGTCAGAGCAGGTCCTGACTACACCTAAAACCTACTAAAACACAACAAAGCTTCGAGCTCCATCCCCCCCAGGCTCTGCCAAGGGAGAACATTCAAATTCAGGATTTGAGTGACAGTCTGAGTGATTAATTCAGCTCTGCCTCTTCCCAGCAGAGTATCCCTATCCGAATCCCTCGGGTGGCTGATTTAAAACCCTCCTCATTAAGAAAAGCACTTGGGAAGGGTGGTTGGAAGATGACAGAACCTAAACTGGAGAGGAACATGTTTAACTCCTTGAGCACAGACCCTGTGTCCTGTTAATTCTGCTCGTGGCAGTTTTACAATGTAAAGCAGATCCCTTGGGAATTGTTCCACAGGAATAATTTTATCAGTGAAGACCCGCTCGGAACAACAAGTGTCCAAGTTAAAACAAGCCAACCTGAAACTTGCAACAAGGCTGGAACAACTGGAACACAGCTGTGTAGAGAAGGTAAAAAGCCACTTTTAATTTGAGTTTACCTGCCTGGGATCCTTGTGCAAGGCTGGCACTGTTGGAATGGTTTCCTCACTGGAAAGTGTGGGATGCCCTACCCAAGTTCCCTGAGCTGCTCCTCCTCCAACAAGTGATGTTTCTCTCTGTCCTACTTCTTTAGCCAGGTTGTCCTGCTTTCCTGCAGCAGTGGGAAGATCTGTGGGAACCTGGGGAGCTATTTCAACAATATTAATGATTTGACTTTTTGTCTCATACAGGAGCAAGAAATCGAGAGGCTGAACAACATCTTAAAGCAGCACGGACTCCTCAGCCAGCCAAAGTAGGAGGCCAGTTTTCCAAGGTGGGAATTCTGCCTGGAGAGTGCAGTGTTGGAATCCACCAGTTTGACCTGAAAGGTTTTTCTGTCTCTTTACTTCCTCTTGCATTGTGTTGTCTATAAACATTTTCTATTTGACCACACTTTGATCAGACCTTGAGATTGCAAAAAGAGTTTTGCTGGAAAATTAATCACACGCAGTCCGTGTAAACAACAGTTTTTTTCCCCTTTCTTGTACAGTTGTACAGTCAAAATTGCAAAATAAGTTAATAAAGACACATCTTTACAAGCTACACACCCATAGAAGTACCACTTATTTAAAATAATTTCACTTTTTCTGTGATAACATTCTTTGTTTGCAACATCTTGTAGAACTTGCAGTAGAAATTATAAGAACTCGGGCTTGAAAAGATAATTTCTCCTCCACCAGCTGATTGTTCATCATCAATACATCTCTTTGCCAACCATTCTTCTCGTATTGTTGGTAGTTTCCTCATTTCTGTTGCTGCTTTTGTGCCACTTTGTTATTTATATAACATTTGTTTCAAAACCACCAACAGGCCGCTCCTTCCCTTGACAATCAAATCAGCCCCAAAATAGAGACAAACATGTGCCACCCCACGTCAGACAGAGCCTTGTTCCACCAGCAGGTCCCAGGTCTGATACTGCATTTTCTAATCCCTTCTTCCCTTTTCAGTTCACTGGGCTACAAAGTTCTTTGTTTCCACAGCTCATAAATCAAGGTGTTAAAAGAACTGGAATATGTCAGAACAGATGTAGGTGAGTGGAACTGCTGGGAACAGTCAGGCTCCAGAAAAGCCATTAAAAAGCAAATTCTAAAGGACCAGGTTGGTGTTCGAGCACAACATGAGCATTTGCAGGTACTGGAAGGTCCCTGCAGAGAGACTATTTGATAGTTGGAGAGTCAGATTCGATGAGTGGGAATTCTGAAAGGTGTCTCCAATGGATTTAAGGCAGACTCAGCTGGAAGGGTCCCTGAGTTTTGCTCAAAGCATAACTGAACTGTTCAGATTTTTAAAGAAAGGTAATTAATTAGTGGTGTGGGGGAAATAGCCAGAAATACGTGGCTTATTCATGTATGGGGGTAGATAAAGCAGAGGCCTTATCTAACAGCACATGATTGCTTTAATTAGCAATTTAACTCTGCTGTTATGGGATAATGAAGCCTGGTTTCCTTTGGAGCTGTGCTGGGTCCCTTCCCCTCCTGCCCCCACAGGCAAGGAGCTGGGAACGGATCTGATGTGCTGGAAGGTTGGTGGCTGCACGTGTGCTGACCAGCAAGTTCATATCTGGACCCTTTTTCCTCTCAGTGAGTTATAATTTGGAACTTTCCACTTAATGTGGTTTTTTTAAACCCTTCTGAGAACCCTCACAAGGTTCACCCCTTCTCTCTCGGTCGATTTTTAGCCCAGTTTATCTACAATTTAGATGAAACTCACGGCCCATCACAGTGACTGGATAAACCTTGGATGGAAAATCAGAAAAAGCAGAAATGTGGGGTTTTTTTGATGAATGCTTACCTTAGACAAATGGATAGAAAAAATCAAAGGGTAACTTGATGTTAATGGTGGGCCAAGCTTTATAGCCTGGCTCTGCAGGTGAGGAAATGTCAGTGAAAACAACAGAACTTGTTACAGGAATAGTCCTTTCCCTTCCTGAGGGAAGCTGCAATGAAAATACAAACAGGAATTAGCTTCAGCCTTCTGTTTGTATGACTGGTTTATTTGGTCTGGGTTACATTTTCACCTGTCAGCTGTAAATTTTTTTTCCATATACAGTCCCATGTTTCTTTTCATTAATGATGTATGGATTTTTATTGAAGGGTTTTGGCAAGCAGCCACAGCTGTGTTTGAGCTGGAAGAGAATTGTTGGGTGGAATAAATGTGAAGTGCTGCCTTCAGATAAAGAGATTATCTGGGTCACTGGCACACAGGAAAACAAGCCCTTTGTTTTATCTTAAACCCTGTAATTTAATTACATACCTGCTTCAGTGTGGTGGTGGTGAGTGTTGCTGTAACATTCACTATCCTGGCTTGGGGATTGACCAGAGATCCATATTTAGTCCACTTCACTTCTATTCCAAAGGACACTGGAATTTGGCATGAGCTCTGCAAAGTGTTAGAAATCCTCTCATTGTCTGACTTACACAAAAGCCACTTCATTAATTAATTATTCTTGTTATTAAGGGGCAGGGTGACCCAGGAAGCTCTCTGGGGAGGCAGCAGAGGTGCTGCAGCTTTTGCTGCCCCTGCAGATTCTCCATAAAAGTGAGTCTGTACCTGCATTTCAGCAGGACTGTCCTACCTCAGGCAGGATTTGGCTTTTGGTGATTGTGCTCAGCTGGGACAAAGTAGGAATATTGGTGGGACAGCAGAAAACCCTGGACTCTGCTAGGGCAGAATTTTGAAGCCAACAGGCTGGACTATTTTTAGGCATTTCTTCTTGAACTGTCACGTTTCTGGTGACAGAAATTACTCACTCTTTGGTTGCAAAAGCATTCAAGGCACCTATACACAAAGTGTCATCTCCTATTGTGCTTCAAAGGATTCTTGTTCTCTTACCCTGACCTGGTGCAAGAGGAGAAACAGTGATTCTGTTACTTCACTCTTTCAACCTCACCTCTGATGCTTCATCCCCTCTGAAGGGCAGGACTAAACTATGGCTAGAAGTCATTTTGCACCCAATATATTGTCCTGAGCCATAAGAGGGGGTAGCAGCTTGATTCAAAATAAACCCTGTCTTCTACAGCGAGAGTGAAACTCCTCATTTGTGAAAATTCCAGGAATTTCCTCCACTTTGTTTCTGCATTTTTTCTCTCCTATATTTTTTCTTCTAACTTTCCTGCATTTTTAGGCTGGGAAGGTTGAGCTGGTGCTGCATTACAGGTACAGAGGAGAGAGGACAGTGAGGGTGAAGGTGGAGGGTGGTGTGACTTTTCACCTGTTCTGAGATGTGGAGGTGAGTTATTGGCACCCAGTCAAGCACATCCTGGGCTTGGGAATTCCCAAATGAGGCCACATACTCAGGAAAGTTTTGGCCCTTCAGTACATCCAGGAGGGTCTGAGCCAAAGGCTGGCATTTCATAGCTGCTGTAATTCTTCCAGAAAACAAAACAAAACAAAAAAGAGATGAGTTACAGCAAAATCCATTGGTTTGGCACAGGCATCATTTCTCCTGCTCCCATGCTCTGTTCAAGCCTTCTGGCTACAGTTGCTAATGCCACAATCTTTTCAAGAGAAAGACCATTGTTAATTAAATGCTATTTTTTAGAATTAAATACTCCGTTCTCAATACTCCTCCAGCTGTAGGAACAGCCAGGACCTGAACAGAGCCTGAGGGAAAAGGTTGTCAGAGGGTTAAAAGCACTAAATTAAAAATAGAGATTAGTTCTTACCGTAACTTACAGCCTGAGATCATGTTATAACCAAATAACACAGGGGCTCTGGCTCCCTGTGCTGCCAGGCAGTCCTGGGTGGATGTGCTCTGCAGGATGGAGAGCTGGCTGTGTTTGTTGGTGCTCTGAGTGATGCCAGATGTAACACACAGTTAAAGGGAAATTCAGCACTTCATGTGTTTCAGGACAAAAAAAGAATCCTTAATCACATCCTTAAAATACATCTGAAAGTGCTGTAATAGCTCCAGACTCCTCTCACAGTGTGAAGCACCGGGGTGTGCAGTGAAGGTCTAAATCCACTCACTACACAGTCCCAGGAGATTGCAGTCAGGACTGAGTCATTCCCTTCTAAAACACAGCCAGAAAACCACTCTTTTATACAGATATATTTTACAGATGTCCAGGCTAGAAAGGGTTTGTGAAGATGGACCAGAGCAAGTGCTGCAAACAGAAATTCAGCAGGGAAAGGATATCCTTGAGGCCAGAATCCTGCCCTCACAGGCAGCCCGACAACGTAACCAGGGTTGCCACTGAGAGGAACTGGCTTTGTGTCTACCTGCAATGCAAACACACAGGATTAGATCTCACCCTGCACTGAAAGGGCTGGAAAACACAGAAATATTTCAGTTATTTTAGGATTATTTATTGCCTGGAATGATGAGTAGTAAGGCTGTAAGTAAGACTTTGCTTTCTCTGGATATAGAGCCACAAGATGGGGCTTGTAAATGTGACACTTTGGAGGCCTTTATTGCCCAGCTCTGAAATGCTGCCTCCTCTGTGTATCCAGGGCAAGTCATACTTTACCTTGCTGCTCACAATTGTTCTGATTCAAGTTTAATAAGTTTTGTAATTAAATGTCTCTCAACAAGTCACCCATGACATCTCCACAGTTACCTGAGTGAAGCTGATTTGGAAGCTCTGCTGGATTGAAAGTGCTTCTTTGGTAATTGCCCCCAAGACAAAAGCAGCAGCTGCTTCTATTATTTCTCCTGTGTCTGTGTAGGTAATGTGATAACTCACCTGAAAATTAAACATTTTAGATGTTCATTTGAATAAATGCATAAGAGAAACCAGGGGGAAAAAGAAAAGGAAGCTAAAATTATTCAAATGTTTTATTTCTTCCTTGCTTAAGAAACTCTGAACTACAGAGTGGGGATATATTACATCCTCTAGAGCTTCTTCAAAACTGACTTCTTTAAGCATAAACACAATGTTCATCTACTTAAGATTAAAAAATGAGATGATGTGCAACATCTATTCCTCTCTCTGTGCCATCAGTGTGCCTGAAATCATCTTCTACCAAGCATAAAGCAGATTCTGCTCATGTTATTGTCTGTTCTGTCATATACACACAGTAATGACAGTCAAGGATTTCAACCTTTCAAGGATTTCTCCGTGTTATGTTGCACATAGTTATTATTTTGCTGCAAAACACTCTCTTTTATCCCAAACTTGGTATCTCTCCTGTGACATTTGCTTTGGGGATGTCACAATCCATGGGAACTTCAAGGCCTTCCTGACAGCTTTGCAATTTGTGCATCAGAAGTGATTTGCTGCAGAGATTCCTCCCATCAAACACCAACAAGGGCTGTCAGACCTACCCCAAGGACTATATTTAAGCACAGTTCATCCAAGATCATGGGGAGCCTCAGGACATCAGCACCCTTCAGTAAAGTCCTCATTCCATCCAGGGACTGGACAACTATGGACTGGACAGAAATATTAACCTGGAAAACAAACTCAGGTCAGTTCTGAATATGGGTATAATTCATTTTGGCTCTTTCTGTGTTATTGTATTCGTGACCCTTCCTGGTTCTGTCCCACAGTCAGTAATTCTCTGAACAATTACTGTGTTACACATACTACAGAAGCTCAACCAA